AAGTTTTGTCTTTTAAAGGGTAACTAAACACCAAAACAACTTTTTTTAGTTAATGATCTGTAAGAATGGAGCTTCATAAATGCTGTTCATTGATTCGAGTACATTTTTTGACAATTGAGTATAAAGTGTTTTGATTTTCAAATATATGGTGTAAAAACGTCTGAGTGCTGCCCTCTTCAGGTTAAACGGAAAGCTCCTGCAGTAGGGGTACTTGCTGACGTAGCGAACTCTCAGACGCACTCTGTCACACCCCTTGGTGCGAGCTCACCACGCCTTGGCAGCCCTGGTATAAAAGCATCTGGTTCCGTCAAAACTACTGTAGCGAGTCAGGAGTTGGATTTATGAATATTGAAAACGATCAGGATACTATAGCATATAATAGCATCTAGTTAGCATAGCCATTTATATAGTTATTTAGATTATTTTTGAAAAACGACCAGGATAGGGTATTGTTGCATCTATTTAGCATAGCATTATATAGATAATTTAGATTATTTTGTGTAGCTAGTAGCATAGTACAGTTAGGATAGCTTCAAGTTAGCATAGATTTTATCAGTGTTTAGTACAGTGATCAGGATAGTAACGGAATAGAGGTGGACATGGGCTTCTCCACACAGCTGCACACGCAGTGCCAAACACTGCTCGTCCTGCATGGACTCCTCCACCGCAGCGGCGTCTTGATGTGAGTGATCATGGTGGATATTTTAATCACAATTTATGGTTAGGAATCGGATAAAGTTAATCCTCTAGGGTCGACAAACGAGCCGGTGCATTTTGCTGGATTTTTTCATATAGCGGCATAATATCAATAGCGTGCGCTATTGAGATCAACTCGACGACATAACTCATCAGATGCCGGTCGCGATGCGGGAGTTAAGACCGCAGTTTGAGCCAGCAGCTCGAATGGATTTGGCCCTGTGTATACATACAATTCACCTCATCCACTTCAGGTGAAGGTGAAGGTGAGGGAGAAAAGTCCTCGACTTCAAATGGCCGCTCTGTTGCAAAGGCAGCTATTGAGTCACTCCAGACTAGTCTCGCTCTATTTTAGAGTCTGACAGCAGCTGTCACTCACGGCGGGTCTCAGGTGCACGCCCCCTAGCCCCGCTGGGGTCTGCCCATTTTTTCAGCATTTTTCAAATATTGCTAGTGGGTGGAGTCAGGCTCTGACCAGGGGTTTAGTTACCCTTTAAGTATTTTTATTTTGCTTAAATTAAACTAAAACAAACTTAGCCTTGACAACTAACTGAAATAAGTTTAAGTTTTAGTAATTTATGTGCTCATTTGTTTTTTTTTATATATATATTTCTATTAAGCTTTATTTTTAGGTTTTAGTCATTTTAGTACTTAATTAAATTATTCTTATTTCAGGTAGTTATTGTGTTGTCTTTTTTATTTATCTAATAATTATTATTTATGTAATTAGTTAAGGTATTTTTAATTTAGGTTTTATTTAGTCATTTTATGTGCTTTCTTATACATAGTTATTTTTAGCTTCATGATTTAAGTGTTAGTTTACATATTTAAACTTATTTAAGCTTTTAAATTGAAGTTTTAAACCAACATTTATATTTTATCTATATTTTAATTGCTGAAAATGTGTCGCAGAGACATGGCTTGCAGTGTGGCGGGGATTACGTCGGATGCCAACGTCCTCACAAACGAGCTGAGGCTCATCGCACAGAGGTGAGTGTGTGAAGCATGATTCTGACTCGTTGTGTAGTTATAAGACAATACATATGAGAATCTCTTACATATGAGATTCATATTGTATGTGATCGTGTGTGTTCAGGTACCTCCTGCAGTATCAGGAGCCAATCCCCTGTGAGCAGCTGGTCACTGCCCTGTGTGACATCAAACAGGCCTACACACAGTTTGGAGGTACGACAGCTAAATCAAAAGCGTTGTACATTATTAATCGGTTGCCAACGGGATCCTGTTGAAGATTTGGGCTGTGTTTTATCAGGTAAAAGACCCTTCGGTGTGTCTCTGCTGTATATGGGATGGGACAAACACTACGGATTCCAGCTCTATCAGAGTGATCCCAGTGGAAACTATGGAGGCTGGAAAGCCACGTGCATCGGGAACAACAGCGCAGTGAGTGAAACGCACACGTTTTGAACATGTGACACGCTTAAACTGTCCAACTAGTGCTGAAAAGAATCAGTGATTCATTTCATTTGAATCGTTTGGTTTAATGAATCATTTCAAAAATAGTCACTCGGCTGTTGCTGAGTTCTGTTCTCACAAAGTGACAGAAAGGACATTTATTATGTAACAAAAGACTTTCTATTTATCAAATAATGCTAAAAAAAATGGATTAGTTTCCACAAAAATATTGGCCAACAATTTATAATGTGGAAGAAATGTAATATGTTCTATATGTTTGCGTTTAATTGTATTTATAGAATCTTAGAAATATGATGGTAATTAGATTAACGTAGTGTCGATACATGTCAGAAATGTTTCTTGAGCAGCAAATCATCATATTAGATTGGGTCAAATATAATTCATTTTGTTTGGAGTGAGTGGCGCGTTCCTCTTAAAGTTAAATGATTTATGAATGCATCATGAATCAGTTTGATTCTTTAAAAAGAACCAGTTTTGATTAATTTCCTGACAAATCAGCTAATAATATCGTGATTCAGCCAGTAGATGGCAACGACACGCTGTCCTCCATTAAAGACTTCTGTTTTGTTATCACAAAAGAACATTGACGTCAGTTCAGAGGTGTGTGTGTGTGTGTGTGTGTGTTGTAGGCTGCTGTGTCGATGCTGAAGCAGGACTATAAAGAGGGAGAGATGACTCTGGCTGCTGCACTCGCTCTCGCCGTCAAAGTACTGAACAAGACCATGGACGTCAGCAAGCTCTCAGCAGAGAAAGGTGTGTGTGTGTTTAGTGAGACGGAGATGGAATAAATGTTTTAGCGTGTGGATTGAGGCGGTCTGGCGGAGAGCAGACTTCTGCATTATGAATGATCATGTAACAATATACAGACCCACAATCCATCTGAGCTCTCAGCTAATGCAGCTGAACTACAGTAACAAACACTGCTGTCAAAACTGTCATGCAACAACACACTCTTCTTAACAATAAGATGTTGTGACATATGAAGTCGCAATTACCTATTCATTATTTAACAATTGTTTTAAATATCTCAAAAGTCTTTCTTTTTACTTTGAAGCATAAATGGGCTTACAATAGTAATGTTTATCACCCCCCAAAAGCTGTTGCTAATTAAATGACTATTCAGATAATCTATAAAACTCTTAAAGGGTTCCCAAAAATTAAAAATTCTGTCTTAATTTACTCACCCTTGTTCCAAACCTGTATGAACACAAAAGAAGATATTTTGAAGAATGTTGGCAATTAAACAGCTGACGGACTCATTGACTTCCATAGTATGAAAAAAAAGTACTATATGGAAGTCAAGGGGTCCATCAACTTTTTGGCTCCCGACATTCTTTAAAAATCATCCTTTGTGTTCAGCAATAGAAACATTTATACAGGTTTGGAACAAGGGTGGGTCAATTATGCCAGAATTTTTTTTTTATTTTTGGGTGAAACTATCCCTTTAAAGATTATTAAGTTTGATAATTAATCTGCTATGTCATGTTTATGACAGGTTGTGTTGTCTTAGTAATGTCAAGTTGTCATAAAGACATCTCAAACAACATCATATTTGTATATAAAATGTCATAACTGAGCGAATGACACTGCGAAACATGCATAAAACTTCCTTCATATTCATAACATATGTCATGTCATGGGTATGAAGGTGTCATGTTAGTCTTATGCACACCCCTTCAAGTAAAGTGTTACCGATGTTGCTTCAGTAGATTCAAAATCTTTCATTGAAAAACATCTGATTGTTTTCTGCTGATCTTTGCAGTGGAGATCGCCACACTGACACGAGAGAACGGCAAGACCAGAATCAAAGTCCTCAAGCAGAAGGAAGTGGAAGAACTCATCAAGAAACACGAGGCTGAAGAGGCCAAAGCGGAGAAGGACAAGAAAGACAAAGAACAGAAGGAGAAAGACAAATAAAACACCTGCACTTGTTTTCTATTAAAATTCAAAAGCCCGCCGGGATTCCTAAAGAAATTCATATTGCTCTGTATGTTCATGTCATTTTCTTTATTAAACACAAAATGAAAAGTTGAACTGGGTTGTTTTGTTTCTGATAATCTAATGTGTCTGGTTATGTAATTCTAGAGGTTTCCTCACTTGACGTCCCACAGCTGGTGGTGTATGTATAAATAGTAGATTAGATGTAAAAGCTTTAATCCGAATATGTATGCCGCTAATGTAAGTGTTGTGTAACCAAGAGTTTTCAGGTTGGTGTGGGGTGAGAGACTATAAGTATTTGCTAAGATAAACTGTACAAAAATGTACTATTGTAAACACAAAATGCCATAGAATCTGTTTACACTTGGTATTAAGATGTTTTGGTCGATCGGATACCAAGTGGAGGACTCTAAATACAGGTTTAAACGGGGTTTACAATACGTTTTGAGCTTGTCCAGTTTAGACCACTACCTGAGGTAGTCAAAACACATTCGAGTGGATTGCTTTCGTAGTGTAAACGCTCATGTGGTAAAAATGTGTTCAAACAGCCACAAAAGATACTACTCTTCATCTACTATTCGGAAAATGAATAATTTTCCGAGTCATTTGGTTCATTCAACGAACAAATTGACTCGGAAAAAGATTCGTTCATTTTGTCAGGAGAGTCACGAACGTGCATCACAGAACAGAGCAATTAAGGCGAGCATTTGAGCTTAAAACTTAAACTTTGTTTTGTTTGTTCGCTTGATAAGACCCTTATTCATCGTCTGGAATCGTTTAAAGCCCTTTTGAACTGTTTGCAGTTTGTACTGAAAGTGTATTTTGGATTTTGAACCGTTTGGTTCCCTCTGAAGTCCATTACATGGAGAAAATCCTGGAATGTTTTCATCAAATACCTTAATTTCTTTTCGACTGAAGAAAGAAAGACATGGACATCTTGGATGACATGGGGGTGAGTAAATTATCAGCAAACGTTTTTTTGAAAAGTGAACTACTCTTTTTATGCCTAAACATGAAGAGCTGTAACTTAGCCAGGCAGAATTTAAACTTTGACGGCTGGAGACCGTTTGGTTTGAAGACGAAAAATGTACCAAGCACAATGTTCTCTCACATCATCCTGTTCCTCTTAGCTTAATGTAATCTCTCGACTGACTCGATGTATTTTGTGGGCTTTCTAAGAAGTGCGGGAATATTAGCCACGTGTTGCATAAGCGTTCAAATGGATTACTGTTTCAGAGGTCAGACCTGAACACACAGACAAGCTTGCAGATCAACCCGGCAACATAGAAATTTTAACGTGTCACACGCTAAAGAATTTCTCGCTAGAGAGAATTTAGGTCAATTTAATGGGTGAGATTATTATGATATCATGGTTCAGTTCATGTCAGTCTTTCTCATAGTTTTTCTGTTTCTGAAGGTCCCTCAGGACTGCTGATGATGATATGTCTGATGATCAGGAACAAGTGAGGTTGAGAAATAACCAAGCAAAGGTTTGTAATTTTATTACCATTTGATTTGTGTTAGCTTTGAGGTTAACATATTCCTAAACTTTGATATATACACACACACACACACACTCACCTGAAGGATTATTAGAAACACCACACTAAGGCCCCGTCCACACTACTGCGTTTTCGTTTAAAAACGGAGACCTTTTGCTACGTTTGCACCTCCCGTCCACACTAAAACGGGAAAAACGAAGACCTAAAACGGAGAAGTTTAGAAACGCTGCAGCTGCGTTTTGCGTTTTGAATCTCCGGAGGGCGTTGTAGTGTGGACGAGACAAAACGGAGGAGTTTACAAACGATGACACAGAGGCTCACGCTCGGCTCTATGATTGGGTGTCATCAGTCATGACGTATCTTTCCCTGATTCGCCAACCACTGTTTACACCGGCGCGCGCATGCCTAGTGTTGGTGAATGGTCACGTGATCCACGTTTTCAGTCGTTTTAGTGTGGACGGAGATAAATTCTAATACGCAGGTAAAACGCTAGTGTGGACGGAGATCGTTTTCGTTTTAATTCTCCGTTTTTAAACGAAAACGCAGTAGTATGGACGGGGCCTAATACTGTGTTCGTCTTCAGAACTGCCTTAATTCTACGTGGCATTGATTCAACAAGGTGCTGAAAGCATTCTTTAGAAATGTTGGCCCATAATTGATAGGATAGCATCTTGCAGTTGATGGAGATTTGTGGGATGCACATCCAGGGCACGAAGCTCCCGTTCCACCACATCCCAAAGATGCTCTATTGGGTTGAGATCTGGTGACTGTGGGGGCCATTTTAGTACAGTGAACTCATTTTCATGTTCAAGAAACCAAAAAATGATTCGAGCTTTGTGACATGGTGCATTATCCTGCTGGAAGTAGCCATCAGAGGATGGGGACATGGTGGCCATAAAGGGATGGACATGGTCAGAAACAATGCTCAGGTAGGCCGTGGCATTTAAACGATGCCCAATTGGCACTCAGGGGCCTAAAGTGTGCCAAGAAAACATCACCCACCCCATTACACCACCACCACCAGCCTGCACAGTGGTAACAAGGCATGATGGATCCATGTTCTCATTCTGTTTACGCCAAACTCTGACTCTACCATCTGAATGTCTGAACAGAAATCGAGACTCATCAGACCAGGCAACATTTTTCCAGTCTTCAACTGTCTTCTGCTGTTGTAGCCCATCCGCCTCGAGGTTGTGTGTGTTGTGGCTTTACAAATGCTTTGCTGCATACCTCGGTTGTAACGAGTGGTTATTTCAGTCAAAGTTGCTCTTCTATCAGCTTGAATCAGTCGGCCCATTCTCCTCTGACCTCTAGCATCAACAAGGCATTTTCGCCCACAGGACTGCCGCATACTGGATGTTTTTGCCTTTTCACACCATTCTTTGTAAACCCTAGAAATGGTTGTTTGTGAAAATCCCAGTAACTGAGCAGATTGTGAAATACTCAGACCGGCCCGTCTGGCACCAACAACCATGCCACGTTCAAAATTGCTTAAATCACCTTTCTTTCCCATTCTGACATTCAGTTTGGAGTTCAGGAGATTGTCTTGACCAGGACTACACCACTAAATGTATTGAAGGAACTGCCATGTGATTGGTTGATTAGATAATTACATTAATGAGAAATCAAACAGGTGTTCCTAATAATCCTTTAGATGAGTGTTTACCCCGGTTTGAGCTGTTTTAACTGAAAGTAACTTGCACTGACATTAAAATGTGTCATTGTTTTGTCTCAAGATGCAACAGTTGCAGTTAAGCAATTTATTACGGTTACAGTATTTCTCATAAAATGCAATTACTTCATGAATGTTTTACAATGACTAATTATTTTTTCTATGCATATTTTATGTGTTGTTTATGCTCCATGTATTTTAATTTTGTCTAGCCACAGAGAATGATGGGAAATGTAGTTTTGTTTTAGAAGCCTGACAACTTATAAACATTCTAAATGACTATTTCTCATCAACTAAATTGTACTATCATCATTAACAATTCAATCTTAATTATGAATCTTAATCATTATTATTGTTTGGTTTTTCAGTGACGAACAACTTGCAAGAACCATTTTTCTTAGAAGATCCAAAAGACGGTACGGTAAGCACATTTATTACATTAACAGTTCTCGTGTTTTCCATGGCAAACGTGTACTTGCATTAATCAACATCCATAATTTAATTTTCTGTCTCATTGATTTTATTTGTGGGAAAATAAAAAAACAACAACAGGTAAGTCATGAAGTTTAAGTTTGTCACATGTTTTATTTGGACATAAGGAAAAAGTTCAAGGTATACAAGTGTAGATGATCAATAAATGATATCTGATTTACTCTAATTTCTACACTACAAAAACAAATCAATCAAAATAGACAAAATAAAATCATATCGATAACAAATAAAATTTAAGTGGATGAACAAAAAAAAAAAAAAAACATTCTCTAAAAGCTTATTGTCACAGCCCATGAGGAAAGGTAAGGTCTATTTACACATGCAAAACCTAAAGGCCACCCTGCTGAGAAGTATACAGAACTGAATTCATTGCACCAGATTTCCACAGAGATGACCAAAAATCAAAGAAACAGAGGCTTCCGCTCCAGGGAATGTTTTTGCATGTTTTACCTGACTAGGCCTGCAATCTAAAAGGTGCTGCTATGGTAGGTTCACCAGTCTTATATGAAGAAAAATTTGAATGGAGACCATTATCTTTGGCAAGTATGTCAAGTTCACTAAACACTGCAAGACACCTTGACGGCTCAGAGTACATCTCCCTGTAATGGATGTGCAATGCACCGTGGGCTGAATTGCTTGTGTTTTCCTAAAGTGCTTGTGTAAAGCCCCTGAGGGGCAGAGGGTGGGGTTGCTCTCTTGATCCTGTGGGTTTGGGATGGTAAAGACAAAAGGTGTGTGATAGACTATGTGGTAAGACTCATGTAGAAGACCTCTGGTCTATGCATCTCCCTAAATAAAAATGAGGACCTTAAAACTAGAATGATTTCATCACAAACATGCTCATGCGTCTAGAAGTTTTCAGGTATGGCTTCATTTTAAAAGAAATAAAAGCGACAGACCTGATTGAACAACTTCCACTCTGTGAAAAGCAAACCTCAAAACCAGACTGAGAAAAATGTCATCTAAACCAACCTAAACTCACACTCAAGTGCATTGTTGGGGTCTGGAATATTTTTCGTTCGTAATATCTTTGACGTTCAAAAATAGAGACATTCTGATGCCATAAAAACAAAACGGTAATATGCAATGCTAGCTTTCATAGATGCGCGATCATCAACAGTGAGGGTAATTTAATATGTTTTCCACGTCACTGCAACGTTTCTTGGTTTTATTATTCGGAAATGGACTCATCGATGCGTTTTATTTGCGTCAAAGTGAATGTTTAGCATTGTCTCTGCACCTCTCAGGTCAGGTGCCATCTGTGATGTCACAATCTCCATAGAATTTTCCAAGCTAAAAGTCCAACTCTAAGTACGAAGGTGAAAATTCTAAAATTCTAAGTTGTATGGAACGCAGCATAAATCCTAGCGAGTGTTTTAAGATCTAATTGTGCTGTTGAAGTCGAGTCCGAGCTACCGAGAGCTTTTCGGCTTGCTTCCTAGTGAAAGTTACAGTTGTCAACTGGAATAAACAAATGAATTCCTGATTTCACCACCATCAGCCACTGGAAACAGTTTACAATCAAATACAAATGCATTCCCTTCTGTAAAAAAGGATCACTACCATGTCTGCGATCTGTATCTGAATGTTCCATAGATAAGAGTACACAACAGTATAGACAGTTTGATATGCGATGATTAACAGAGAGGATTTCTGCTTTAGCACCAAGCCACCTCCTACTGATGGAACGACCAATCAGAGTAGATTGGTGTGAGTGTTAGATGGCCCAGCTTCGCCCCTTCCCCTGTCCTAAAAGTCACTTTGATGCAGAGGTATAAAGTGGGAACAGAGACGGGGGAGCAAGAGGGGTGGGGGGCATTTTAAGAGTGAGGGAGAGTCACTCTTCATCAGAACTACTGCTGTCTATGGAATAGACCATGAAGAGAAGATCGGGCCGGGCTGGCACCAGCGGGTGACCCGGTTTCACCACTTCAAAACCCATGTAGTGGAAGGTCTTCATGATGGACACTGCACAAGTGGAGACAAAGACAATTCCTCGTTTACTGAATTATGGTAAGTATTTGATTCATTATCCAGTTAAAACAACAGGTTCTGTTATAATTGACTCATGTTGCATGTTGTTGCATATGACTTTCTTTCTTTCTTTTTTGCAGATTGTACACAACTCAGAATTTGAAGCTCCAAAATATGACACTGAAAGTCATATGCATAAGCCATATTTTTGGAGTCCGACAACCTACATGAATCCGGATATTGAAAATGAAAATGGCATTTTCATTTCAAAACACACTAGCTTTTAGTGTTTTCCAAAACTTGTCCACACTGAAAAATCTGAAAATGTTTAAAAGCCCTTGCTGCGCATGTGATAAAATGCCATTAAAGGGATAGTCACTTTGAAATATATTTTTTGGTATGTTTTATCTTGCCTCAAGGGCATCCAAGATGTAGGTGTCTTTGTTTCCGCAGTAGTTTCAATTTTGATATTTTTAGGTCAAAACGTTCTTGTCTCTCAGTCATATAATGGAGGTCTATGGTCACCAACTCAAAGAGCATGCACAGAGAAGTCCAAATTAAACATGATTTAATGACTCGTAAATGTAAGTACACATTGATGGCCTAAGACACGAAACGAGCGGTTTGTGTGAGAAAACGAACAGTATTTATATAATTTTTACCTCTTGTTACCACAGCAACGTCCAACTGATCTGAGGGCGCGGGCGCTTTGTGGCTATGATTTCAAGACTTAAAAATGAAATAAATAAATGTTTTCTCACACAAACCGCTGTGTACTTTCATTTACAAGTCATTAAATCATGTTTAATTTGGACTTCTCTGTGCATGCTCTTTGAGGTGGTGACCATAGACCTCCATTATATGACTGACAAGAACGGTTTGACCTAAAAATATCAAAATTGAAAATACTGTGGAAACAAAGACACCTACATCTTGGATGCCCTTGAGGTAAGCTAAAACATACCAAAAATTAAATCCAAAGTAAACTATCCTTTTAAAGCTCACTGAGATAAAAAAAAAATCTCACTGAGAGATAAGACATCACGCTAATTCTTCTGGAATGATCATTTATTAGCAAAATTTCCAACCATTTACTGGTCCCTCAAAATCAGTATTTCATGTATTGTATAAAACACAGGACAGGACATAAACAGGACAGCAACTGTGAGTGAATATTGTCATCTTTGCAGCTATGTGATATGAAGATTGTGTGGTGTAAAACATATCTTTAGCAAAACTATGTAAGTGAATAGCAGGCCCAACAATACCAATACATCTATAGATATAGAGTATATGGGTACCATATGCATGACTAAACACTTCACACTACAACATGAAAACACTGTTTTCAAATGTATTCAAAAAGACAACTTTTACCAGATAAAATTCAATCTCGGTGTGGACGAAAGACCAAAACAAACATTATTATTATTCTTTTTTTTTTTAAAGAAACAGATTTAAAATGTATCCGGATTAATGTGGTTGTAGCCTCAGTTTCCATTATGGGTGAAAACAATCTTTGGTTGAGTTCCACAGAAGAAAGAAAGTCACTCATACTGGTTCAATAGGAGGGTGAGTAAATGGTGACAACATTTATATCATTATATTTGTTTAAATGTATCTTACATCGATCGTCTCTGTTTTTGTGAAGCCACAGGAACACATAGCTGACTTTCAACTGCTCCTCTGCAAACTCCAGAAGCCTGGTGAAACTGCAGAGTAATGACAGAGAGAGAGAGATGGTGACGCACTGCTGCTTTTACATAATGCAAATCTTATGTAATAATGCAGATGTACTAGCCACTGAACAACTTCAGTCAGAACACACACTAAGTTAATGCTTTCTGACGGTCCACCACCTGCTCGTTGAAGGTAAAACACTCTGTTCTAATGCCTGCAGTGACCTCAAAGACAGCACATGACCGGACATGACCAGTCCAAATGAAGAATGACTGGAAGAACTTTCATCAAAAACGGCTTCATATTTCACAACCACACGGAAAACCAACTCGAGCTGCTTTTGACTGAAATAAAACCAGCCGTTTGTTCTAATGTGACCTTAAAACGTCAGTTAAAGGCGAACCATGTAGAGACCGACGGATACGCCGTCAGCTTCAATATAGACAGATTATTAACCCGACGTACCCTTCTTTGCTGCCATTGTGGAGAGCTCCAGCGGGGATTTCTAGGTAGAGGGCATCGTCTGAAAGAACCGTGTCCCAGCTGGAGATTCGACGCTCGCTCAACTGGTACTGGAAGTGCAGGACTGGGGGCGCTCCGCTCGCTGATCCCGCCTGAGTCACTGTCAGCTTGTCGTCCTGGAGGACACATATGCATTCCTTTTCTTACAATATTGTTATTAACATTATTGAAAACAGCCCTGAAAGAACCAGTTCTCAGATGCTTCTATGAGAATAAATAACTAAGAGAGATTCATTCTCTTAAACGCGAATCAATCCAGTTACTATCGATCGATTGCACTGCGTTGTTTTCAAACATCTGTATTGCAACGTGTATCCCATTAAAGGGATAGTTCACTTTGAAATGAATTTTTGGTAGGTTTTAGCTTGCCTCAAGGAAATCCGAGAAGTAGGTGTTTTTGTTTCCGCAGTAGTTTCGATTTTGATATTTTTAGGTCAAACTGTTCTTGTTTTTCAGTCATATAATGGAGGTCTATGGTCACCACCTCAAAGAGCATGCACAGAGAAGTCCAAATTAAACATGATTTAATGACTCGTAAAATTTAAGTACATTGAGACACTAAACGAGCAGTTTGTGTGAGAAAACGAACAGTATTTGTTTTTACCTCTTGTAACCACAGCCACGTCCACGTGATCTGAGGCCGGAAAGCGGCAGAAGTGATCTCTTGCGCTGTTGCGAAAAAAATTAAATGTTGTCTGTTGATATATCGTCAATGTTGTCTGTTGAGGAAATCGTCTTCCATTGCGATTTCCTGTATATCTAAATATGTTCAGATCTTCACAGTGAAGGGTAACGCTTCCAAAATCTCTGTGTAAACAATGAGTGACGTACACGCGCGAGGGATCACTTCCGGCGTTTTCCAGCGTTTGCACAGACCACGCCCTCAGATCACTTGGACGTTGCTGTGATTACAAGAGGTAAAAACGATATGAATGCTGTTCGTTTTCTCACACAAACCGCTCGTTTCGTGTCTTAGACCATCAATGTGTACTTACATTTACGATTAGTCATTAAATCATGTTTAATTTGGACTTCTCTGTGCATGCTCTTTGAGGTGGTGACCATAGACCTTCATTTTATTACTGACAGACAAGAACGGTTTGACCTAAAAATATCAAAATTGAAAATACAGCGGAAACATAGACCCCTACATCTTGGATGCCCTTGAGGTAAGCTAAAACATACCAAAAATGAATTTCAAAGTGAACTATCCCTTTAAGATGAAGTTGGAAATACCAAGCAATGTGGGATTCATTTCAGTAATGAACCCGCTGCAATCCTGTCGATTTTCAATCGATTTTTGTCTAAATATCTAAGCTAGAGTAGAACGTTTAAACAAAATCAATTGATATAAATGAGTGAAGAGAAGCCAACAGGGACTTGAACAATAGATCTTTTCACAGGTGCGAGTGATCCTAAACCTCTTAAACTTTTGAGATGATCACATGTCTGCACATACAGTGCTGACATCTATAGTGTCACGCACACGGTCAGGTGTATCCCAAGCTCGATTACCAAGCGCTGACACCGTCCATAAGTAGGCCAGATGGAAACTAGCTGTAAATATTGTACAAAAAAAACAAGCTCTGTAGATCTCTTCACACCCATCTCCTCCCTTGGGCTGGTTGTCTGTGTATGTTATTTGGAAATGTTATGGCTATTGATAAACTAATATATCTGCTGATATTCAGATTATTTGAAATATCCTTATATCCCGAGTTCAGCTTTATAACTAACCTGTGCGTCTTAATTGGATTAGCATGCATTAAATGTATTACCATTACAGAGGTATAGTTAACGATCGCTTTTTAATTTTTGGCAAGGAATTCGAAAATCATATGAATAAAAATGTTAAATGGGGCCTATTATGCCCTTTTCAGTCTTATTTTTGGGGTCTACAGTAAGAGGTGCATTATTTTTTCACATATTTGACATTGTTGCAGCACCTCTCTTCTCAGTCTGTCAGTAACTGTCAGTATGTTTAATTCCAGTCTCTATGTAGCCACGCCTTCTGAAATGTGCAATGTGCTCTGGTCGGATGGACCAGTGTGTTGTGTTGATTGGTCAACCGTTTTGAGAGTATTTGGGGAAATGTCATGCTCATTACCATAACTGCGAGTTTTAACACACTATTAACGCAACTCAGTCAGGCCTCGCCCCTTTTTTGCATATGCGAGTTTTAACACGCTACTAACGCAACTCAACCAGGCCTCGCCCCTTTTTTGCATATGCGAGTTTTAACACACTACTAACGCAACTCAACCAGGCCTCGCCCCTTTTTTGCATATGCGAGTTTTAACACACTACTAACGCAACTCAACCAGGCCTCGCCCCTTTTTTGCATATGCGAGTTTTAACATACTACTAACGCAACTCAACCAGGCCTCGCCCCTTTTTTGCATATGCGAGTTTTAACATACTACTAACGCAACTCAACCAGGCCTCGCCCCTTTTTTGCATATGCGAGTTTTAACATACTACTAACGCAACTCAACCAGGCCTCGCCCCTTTTTTGAATTTGAGAGCTTTAACACAGTACTAACGCAACTCAACCAGGCCTCGCCCCTTTTTTGCATATGCGAGTTTTAACATACTACTAACGCAACTCAACCAGGCCTCGCCCCTTTTTTGAATTTGAGAGCTTTAACACAGTACTAACGCAACTCAACCAGGCCTCGCCCCTTTTTTGCATATGCGAGTTTTAACACACTACTAACGCAACTCAACCAGGCCTCGCCCCTTTTTTGAATTTGAGAGCTTTAACACAGTACTAACGCAACTCAACCAGGCCTCGCCCCTTTTTTGCATATGCGAGTTTTAACACGCTACTAACGCAACTCAACCAGGCCTCGCCCCTTTTTTGCATATGCGAGTTTTAACATACTACTAACGCAACTCAACCAGGCCTCGCCCCTTTTTTGCATATGCGAGTTTTAACACACTACTAACGCAACTCAACCAGGCCTCGCCCCTTTTTTGAATTTGAGAGCTTTAACACAGTACTAACGCAACTCAACCAGGCCTCGCCCCTTTTTTGCATATGCGAGTTTTAACACGCTACTAACGCAACTCAACCAGGCCTCGCCCCTTTTTTGCATATGCGAGTTTTAACATACTACTAACGCAACTCAACCAGGCCTCGCCCCTTTTTTGCATATGCGAGTTTTAACATACTATTAACGTAACTCAACCAGGCCTCGCCCCTTTTTTGCATATGCGAGTTTTAACATACTATTAACGTAACTCAACCAGGCCTCGCCCCTTTTTTGAATTTGAGAGCTTTAACACAGTACTAACGCAACTCAACCAGGCCTCGCCCCTTTTTTGCATATGCGAGTTTTAATATACTATTAACGTAACTCAACCAGGCCACGCCCCTTTTTTGCATATAAGAGCTTTAACATACTACTAACACAACTCAACCAGGCCTCGCCCCTTTTTTGCATATGCGAGTTTTAACACACTACTAACGCAACTCAACCAGGCCTCGCCCATTTTTTGCATATGCAAGTTTTAACACACTACTAACACAACTCAACCAGGCCTCGCCCCTTTTTTGCATATGCGAATTTTAACACGCTACTAACGCAACTCAACCAGGCCTCGCCCCTTTTATGAATTTGAGAGCTTTAACACAGTACTAACGCAACTCAACCAGGCCTCGCCCCTTTTTTGCATTTGAGAGCTTTAACATACTACTAACGCAACTCAACCAGGCCACGCCCCTTTTTTGCATATGCGAGTTTTAACATACTATTAACGTAACTCAACCAGGCCACGCCCCTTTTTTGCATATAAGAGCTTTAACATACTACTAACACAACTCAACCAGGCCTCGCCCCTTTTTTGCATATGCGAATTTTAACACGCTACTAACGCAACTCAACTAGGCCTCGCCCCTTTTTGCATATGCGAGTTTTAACATACTATTAACGTAACTCAACCAGGCCACGCCCCTTTTTTGCATATAAGAGCTTTAACATACTACTAACGCAACTCAACCAGGCCTCGCCCCTTTTTTGCATATGCGAATTTTAACACACTACTAACGCAACTCAACCAGGCCTCGCCCCTTTTTTGCATATGCGAATTTTAACACACTACTAACGCAACTCAACCAGGCCTCGCCCCTTTTTTGCATTTGTCTTGTGAATTATGTACATTATTTTATTATTTATCCCAGAAGAAATCTTAGGGTGTCCAGAAACCCTAAACCCTGCGCACCGATATAGAAAATAACTCCCTTTGTAGTGACTTTGCAGAGCTTTTTCATGCTCGAACAGCAACATTACACACTAAAGAAAGTTGAAAACATAAAAAAGCATAATAGGACCCCTTTCAGAACATTTATTTTTGACGTTCATACAAAAGCGAACAACAATTCAGACTGTGTGTGTGTGTTCTTACTTTGTGAAGTACGCTGTGAGGGAGATCCCTGCCCGTCCCTCGCCCACCCGGGATCTTCGTTAGTGGGAGAGGGGCATCAGGAGCACCACAGAGGCCCTGGAGCCCGCTGCCTCGAGCCAAGCACGGCACAACTACAACACAGAATATCAAAATATATGTCACAGCTGTGTAAGGTTAACACAGTGCTTTTAACTAAAATTGGCATTTGCTTCTAAAAACTACCTTCGCTCTGTTCGTCGGCGTCGTGATTACAGTTTATGACGCATTTTGGCTCAGGCCTCAGAGTGCCAGCCGATAACAGATATACCCATCCTGCCAACAGCATGAACCAATCTGGCTGTCTGCTTAAGTGAAACGTTGGCTCTCTCTCTATATATCTGTTCTTATGCCTTATCAGACACTGTCACCTTGTCATGTTTTCTGCAGCTCTGTTTTCACATTAGCACTCAGTTCTCTGATTAAAGACTATGGGCCAGATTTACTAACAGCTTGTGCCAACGCAAACACTCTTTTGGCGTTAAAAAACCTACAGTCAGGATTTACTTAAGACAAAAATTAGCGCTGAATAGGCGTGGATAGGGTTATTTATGCATGTGCGTTTGTAGGAGTTTCCCTTTCAGACAACGTTTATGGGAAAAAGAGTATTTAAAGGAATCATGGGACGTGATTTACTAAGGTTTGCGCTAGTCAATGGTATTTGGTATCTCTGCCATTATTTACCTAAACCAGACGCTAATTTACAGCTGCTCTTTGTAGATTGCGTTGGAAATGATCATGGATTATGGAAATGATCCGGCTGTGTCTGTGTTCTTCGACCTTTCCACTCCAATGAGCGCTTTTTTAGAATAGCGCTTTCATGCTAATTTGCCCTGTTTTGTAAATCTGGCCCTATGGCAGCACTATTTTTGGCCTAATATGGAATTAAGCTAATATAATTTTGTTTAATCAGATCTATCAATTCAATTTCATCAAATCTATCTATAAATTAGTGTTAGAGCGATATAAACCAGGCCAATTAATCATCCAATATTTTGCGATCATCAGCATCAGCCGATTCTTAAAATGAAAATATTGTAAAGTTAATTTTGGTTCTTGGAGATGGATGTTTCACTTTCAACTAGACAGAAGGGATGCAGTTCGCACAGATCACAAACAAGCACATGACGTGAAAACAAGTCTGTAAATAGCAGCTTAGCTGAGAACATTTGACATCCCAGAAGGCTTGAGTTACAGCACTGGCTTTAAGAGACGGTAATAACAGACATTTATACACCCATGACTTACTGGGAGATCTTTGGATCGGATATCTCATCTGACTGAAGCCAGGCCACACACTGTCAGCGAAAATCTCTCATTATGATTGAAAGCTTTCTAGAAAATTCCTGATTTTTCCAAACAACCCTGTTTACATATGTGGCAATAAGCTGATCTGGGAACAGAACATTGATATTGTATGGCATTATCAGCTGACAGCAATCCATGACAAATGAATTGGCTGTTCGAAACTTGGGTGCATTGTTTTTAAGTCTCATGAGCCAGATTACCCAGCAGGCAAATGTGAGAAGGGCGTAGTGGTTTCCTTGCAACCGAACATGTAACCCAGGTGACATAATCTGCATGGTGACCACATAAACAACAGGTGAAGCTGTTCCTTTTCTTTTTGGTGACCCTATAGACTATGTACCAAGAACTAGTACGACTAGCACTTTTGAGACGCTTTCTTTAGTCGGTTCTCCTGGTCTCCGTAAAGAGCGCTGGGTATCTGCGACTGCGAGTGAAATGTCAGCTTGTTTTGAAAGCCGACACTTTCACCCTCTGACATTCAAGCACTTTCCTCCCCTCCACTGTCTCGGATTATACGCTCTGGATCAAAACAGATTCAGGCCAACTAAAAAAAAAGAAAGATACTGAAATAGAGGAACTTTCTTGGATTCGTTTAACATACAGAACTCGAGGGTGCATTAGATTGCAATGTGGTTTCTAGGAATATTTTGAGTGGCTGCTTGTGCTTCATATTCTGGTGATATAATGGGAATTTTTGTTGTGTTTTGTCATTTAGCAGGTGAAAATCTTGGGATACTCCACCGTTTTTTTTTTTTTCATATTAAAGGTGCCATGTGTAAAAATTGAGGTTAAAATATCCAAAAAATGAGCTACACGCATCAAAAGAATGAGAATAAATAAGGTTGATGATGTCATTAAAAAAATGACAAAAAATGAGTCGAAGTGCTCCCAAGCGATTGCTGTGTATTCCGCCATACATTATAGTTGTCCACTTTACACGCTTAGAAAAGCACGTTTTATTTCGTGTCACTGTCCTAGGTCGAGTTACACTGCTCGAGTAACTGTATTTAAATAGGGAAACCGTGGAGGTGTTTGGTCGCTTCTCTGCTTGGCCCATATTGAATGAACTGGGCTAGTTAAAGGGATACTCCACTTTTTTGGAAATAGGCTCATTTTACAACTCCCTCAGGGTTAAACATTTGGGTTTTACCGTTTTCTAATCCATTCAGCCAATTTTCTGATATTTAGAAGAATATCAGTAACCAGACAGTTTCTGGTCTCATTGACTTCCATAGTAGGAAAACAAATATACTATGGAAGTCAATGAGACCAGAAACTCTCTGGTTACTGATATTCTTCTAAATATCAGAAAATCGACGGAATGGATTCGAAAACGGAAAAACCCAACATTTTAACTCTGGGGGAGTTGTAAAATGAGCCTATTTCCAAAAAAAGTGGAGTATCCCTTTAAGTGCTATTAAAGTGTCTCGCGCGCCACAGCGATTGAGCGCACGCACTGAGACAACAGAGGTGTGTATCAACTCGTCTTAGTAAAGGGAACATAGTTTAATATGAAAAAAAACGGTGGAGTATCCCTTTAAGTGTGTTCGCCTGGAAAAGTAATAGCACACTTTCCTCAAAAAGACGTGAAATCAAAATGGACAATTTTTATTTGTTCTATGGCATACAGAAGTATTTATTATAAATGATTTATCCCTGCACATAATTGTTTTAATTCATGTGCCCTTATAATCTCTAAAAACAAAATACTGTATCTTTCCTTCTCTCTTGACGTGTTTACTAGCGCAAAGGTGGGGCAACCTGTCACTCACAAGAGATCGACCAATAGCAAACCACAACCATCCAATGATCCAATCAATTCCCAATGGTCAAAATAATTTTTTCTTGTTCGGGAAGCTGCTTTTCTCGGATATAAGTCACAATAGGGAAGAAAATGCATGTCTGTAGGTTTAATGTTGGATAATGGATAAAGGATAATGTTGGATTGAGTCCAAAAGCAGAATCTATTGCCAAAACAACTTTGTGTTACCAAGAAAGTAGTTTAATTTGTTCTACTAAAACTGAGGATCACTCCTGACTCCAGTTGACCTCCAGGACCAGCACAGGGTGATAGTCCGGATCTGTTTAAAGACCGGGATTCAGGTTAATCTTTAGTGTAGTAATTACTGGCGTTGCTGAGTGTTTGGAGAACAACCAGGAAACAGTCAAAACCAAAACAGGATACTGCGAGTCTTCCAGGAAAACAGTTATCATTTGGCAATACAGAGGGGCACGAAAGGTGACGTACGACCTTCAACTCACAGTGAACGTGTTTTAGACCAATCCCTGACCAGCAGAGGTATGGCAGGTTTGTGTTTTTCACATATCAGATTACAAAGCCTCAGCGTGCAAGTGACCTTCTTTGACGACAAGTCTGATGTTTCTATTTTGCCAGAGCCTTAGCCCTGCCACATTCTTCAGTAAAGCGTTTCTCTTTTTAACACGGATGGTTGAGAAACAGGAATGAAATGACGTTGCATGAAAAGTGAGTGCGGATGGATTTGGGGGATGTCATTCTGTGACCGCCGAGGAAACATTCGTGGAAATTGCACCGTGCTCTGATTTTAACATGATGTTTGACGTGTTCATAGGGTCTTTAAACAGGCCAGGGCCACGGCAAAGATGTTGCAGGTAAACAACAGAGATTTCTAGGAAGGAACTATAGCTTATGTAATGTTTTGTCCCCATATTCCTCACTCAGAATACCTTAAATCCCAGGTTAAATATGGTTAATCGCCTGCACTATAGCTAATATTGTTTCAATAACAAACGCTGATAGTGTCTAGAGAGTTTCATAACAGGATCCTTGCAGGTGATCCGTGCTCGCTCGGGTTTCCATCCTCAATCTAGATTAGGAAATTGCAAGAATAGTAAAAACGAATTATCTTTGGGACAGTGCGATTTGGTTGGCATCGACAGTCCTGTTACAAGCTCATGAATCCTAATTGAGTTGATGGGGTTATAGATGAAATATTTATAGCAGTGTGAGTCTCTCACACTCATCTGTCTGCTCGACATTAAATCCGCTTTGATCACAGCCTGAGTCTCTAATCCTTCAGTACATCACAATTAGATCCTGCCCATTCATAATTTACATACATCAAATCTCTATATCAAACGAAATATAAAATAAATGGGTATTGTAAATATTATTGATATATATTTTATATATTTAATTTTGTATCTTTTTTTATAATAGTCTCTCTCTCTCTCTCTCTTTGTATATATATATATATGTGTGTGTGTGTGTGTGTAAACAATACATAAATGTATACATTACAATTTTCATTACAAGAAAATTGACATATGTATAAATATGTTCTGAATTATTAAATATTATTTAAAAACACTTTAACTATATAGATATTGGCATGTTAAGATATATGTAAAATAATCATAATAATCACCAGCCAGTAACGTTATGTGCATGAAATTAAAATGTTACACGACTGTAAAAAAATGCAATCGTATATCATCTCACCTCTCCTCTGTGTTGCACATGTTTGTTTGTTTGTCCTCGTAGACTGCTTTACTCTGATAACTCAAACAGTGATTGTTGTGCAGAAAGTCCACGGAGAAATGCACCATATGTGATAATTCTCTCTCTGAAGTGTTCCTCGATCCGCGCACCGTGCTTTGACACCGAGCTCTGCTTGCGCGGTGACGTTGAGGAATTGATTCTGAATATTAATGAGCCTACGTAATGTCTACCAATCAAAGGCCGAGTGCGATCGACAGCCTCATTAATATTCATCATTGTTCAGCGTGGAGAATCATGGGAGACGACGCAGAACAGGGAAGTGACCGTGAATCTACTTATATTATTCTGTTTTTAAATATCGATGAGGTTAGTTTATTGATTGTTTATCACCATAAATACACATAGTAATATAATGATATTTAAGGGAGATTTAGAAGCTTAACATTGAAATTTGACGACACTGGGGATTTCTGGGAAATGAAGTTTTCAGTTTTGAATATTCCAAACAGAGTTTCCGAATCACCTAATTTACGTGTAATTTATCTACAAACTGAACAATAAAACTGCTAAAGTCATCTCATTGTCAATCATGATCATGTCAAATCTAAAAAAAAACCCGAATGCTTAGAAATAAAACTGAAGATAGTCATCTGAAAATACTCCCTTTTTATTTATTGTTTAAGATCTCTACAGGACTTTTGGAACGGCGTGGACTGGACTTATGTTATGTAAGAGCAGATAATGGAAACAACCCAGGCCCAAAAGATTAAAGGATTAGGAACCGGACACCAGGCGATGTGATCGTTACACCACGGTGGGTGAAGATCAGTCTCAGTGAGTGAAGTGTATGACCTCCAGAGAGAACCCACAACACAATCAATATCTGAACTCTGCAAGGTACTGGGTTTTACTTTTCAGTCGTAATGGAACCTCAACTGGGTTCTAAATCTCAATGATAGCAGTTTAAATAGCACAGGGCTGGGTTTTCTGCAGGTTCCAGATGATTTTATCTATTCTATTCATAATAATATGCTTGGTTGCATTTGAATGTAGCATTGTTTCCATGCTATCAGAAGAGATTTCTGCAGAGACTTCAAGTGACCTGTGAACTTACTCAAGCTGGGTGGTTTGCATTCTTCATGTGGAATCTCATTATGAGAACAGAAACCACAGAAATTATAGGCAACCTTTGCAATCTACTTATTTATGGTTCCATATTGGATTTCATAGTTCATTTGACCTTGTTGGCTGGCATAACATCTATCGTGTGTTTGGCGCAGTGAATTGTGGTGTTAGCAACACGATTTGGTGGTTGTCTTTTTGAAAACAATAAACAAGTTTTAAGACCTAAACATATATCAGCTCTGATCACGCCACAGTTCCTGTCACACACACCCCTCTGTGTGGTTTCTCTCAAACTGAGAATCACCACAAGGCATTCTGTTGGCTAAACAAACAACAAAAACATATTTTCTTTTCTGTAATGATGCTGTAATGATTCACCCTGCTGCTGACAGATGAATAACAACAATAATTATAAAACATATTTATATATATTTGATAGAGTTTAATGATGAAGTTAATTATAGCCGTAAATCATAAGATGATTTACTACAAAACCCTTTTGGCCGTATTTAACTTTAAATCCCGTCTGACTCGAGCTCTTCCCATCATGTTTACGGATTAGATCAGTAGACGGAGAGTAGTGTCTTTTGTGGTTGTTTGAACACATTCGACCACATGAGCGATTACACTACAAAAGCAATCCGGTCGAATGCGTTTTCAGCTCTGGAAGTGGCTGATAAGCTCCAAACGTTTTAGACCCCGTTTACACCTGTATTTATCGTCGTTCATTTGTGATCCAATCGACCAAAACGCATCTTAATACCAGGTGTAAACAGGGCCTGCTCCAAACAGTGAGAACAGAGCATGTTTTATTCCATGGACAGCATCGGCTTGCTGATCTATTAAAAGCCCCATTGTATCTTTTCCTCTTTGGCACTCTTGTACATCCAGGAAATGCTTGTTTACTGTGTCAGGTAATCATCTCAGAGGCGAACGGGAGAGATTCTCTCTGCGTAAACTGCTTCGGATTTGTTTCGCATTTGTTTAAAAAGTGTGTGACATGTTGAGGAGATTGAAAATAGCCTAGCAATGTTCTAGGAACCACCCAACACACCCTAACTATCACCAATTCAATATGCACAATCCTGTTCCTGGAGATCTACCTTCCTGCAAACTTCAAAGATCAGGGTTGGGTCTGAACTCTGCAGGTCAGAATTCCCCAGTAATGCCCTGGAAACCACATAGGACATCCTAGCAACCATCCAGAATTTCCTATAAACACCCTAACAACCACATAGACTTCCCTAGTGATGCCCTAGAAAACTGTTGAGAGAGACAGCCCCAAAACTATTATTAAAGAAATCGACTATCGAGTATTCTCTCGGTTATGTCATAAGTGAACAGTTGAGAAAGAAACCGGATCTGGGTCTGTGCGTTCAGTCTTAAAGTGACAGCAGCATGTTAATATACAAATTTTTTAAATACAGCTTTAACAAAGATGAACCTATATTTAATTTCTGCTGTGAACAAATAATGCTATTTTACATTTAGGCAGCTTGCAGGATAAGTGTGTGATTTTTTTAAAAATATGTTTTAGCTTACCTCAAGGGCATCCAAGATGTAGGTGTCTTTGTTTCCGCAGTAGTTTCAATTTTGATATTTTTAGGTCAAACCGTTCTTGTCTGTGAGTCATATAATGGAGGTCTATGGTCACCACCTCAAAGAGCATGCACAGAGAAGTCCAAATTAAACATGATTTAATGACTCGTAAAATTTAAGTACATTGAGACACTAAACGAGCAGTTTGTGTGAGAAAACGAACAGTATTTGTTTTTACCTCTTGTAACCACAGCCACGTCCACGTGATCTGAGGCCGGAAAGCGGCAGAAGTGATCTCTTGCGCTGTTGCGAAAAAAATTAAATGTTGTCTGTTGATATATTGTCAATGTTGTCTGTTGAGGAAATCGTCTTCCATTGCGATTTCCTGTATATCTAAATATGTTCAGATCTTCACAGTGAAGGGTAACGCTTCCAAAATCTCTGTGTAAACAATGAGTGACGTACACGCGCGAGGGATCACTTCCGGCGTTTTCCAGCGTTTGCACAGACCACGCCCTCAGATCACTTGGACGTTGCTGTGATTACAAGAGGTAAAAACGATATGAATGCTGTTCGTTTTCTCACACAAACCGCTCGTTTCGTGTCTTAGACCATCAATGTGTACTTACATTTACGAGTCATTAAATCATGTTTAATTTGGACTTCTCTGTGCATGCTCTTTGAGGTGGTGACCATAGACCTCCATTATATGACTGACAGACAAGAACGTTTTGACCTAAAAATATCAAAATTGAAACTACAGCGGAAACAAAGACACCTACATCTTGGATGCCCTTGGGGTAAGATAAAACATACCAAAAATTAATTTCAAAGTGAACTATCCCTTTAAGTGCGAGTACCAAACAGCATCGCCAGGTTCTCCCTTCAGAACCAGACCAAACAAATATGTGCAGCCCTTAATGTATCATAAGTGTACTATTATCTCTTTACATGAACAAACAAAGCATTCTACATCAATTTGAATGTATTAAGAAAGTCTTTGTGATGCATTGTATATACAGGCCTCAGCAGTGAAGCTCTCTCTGCATGAGTTTTGACCCGGTCTCTGTGAGACGGGCTGCTAAGCACCGCTGAAATGCCCCGTTCCAGCCGAATGAACTTTCAGCGGTGATGCCGAGTTCAGGCTGTTCATCGTGTGTGTTCACCTGGGTTTATTCTGTCCTGACATAGAGAGGAGTGTATCAGTTGCTAACCCATGCTGATATGCACACCTCAATAAAAGACATTCTGGTCACTTACAACCCCTGACGGATGGTTAGGGATGCTGGCGTGTGTCTGGCATTGAGCAGAGGCTCTTGAAGTGAGTGTGTGCAGTGTGTCTCAGGGGTTTTGTGGCGTACGGCATTAAGCTGATTGGCACTAATACTTTTTGTTCTGGCTCGGAGTTTCCGTTGCAGTTTCCAAGAACTCAGCAGGCCACTTCCACTTACTGTCCATACCTTATAGAAGGGTTTAGCTCATTAAAATCATTAGATTTGATTACATGTTACGGTTTCATATAGACTTGATCTGAAATGGAAAGATTTGTAACATTAATCACTACCATTCAAAAGTTTGGGGTCAGTAAGAATTTATTTTTTATTTTCGGGGGAAAGAAATTAGAAAATACTTTTATTCATCAAGGATGAGTTAAATTGATCAAAAGTTACAGTAAAGATGTTAGTAAAGATTATATTTTAAATAAATGCTGTTCTTTTGAACCTTCTATTCATCTATTCATTCATAGAATTTTGGGGGGAAATGGTACACGACTGTTTTCAACATTGAAAATAATAATTTATGTTTTTTGAGCATAAAATCAGCATATTAGAATGATTTCTGAAGGATCATGTGACACTGAAAACTGATGTGTAATCAGCAACAGTAATGATGTTGAAAATTCAGCTTATAAAATATATTAAAATAGAAAACAGCCATTTTAAATTGTTATAATATTTCAGAATATTACTGTTTGTCATTTTTTTTTCATCAAATAAAGCAGCCTTGAGCAGAAGAGACTTGGTTAAAAACATAAAAAATCTTACTGATCTCAAACTTTTGACCGGTAGTGTATATATATATACATACATACATATTATAAATAACACACACACACATATAAATAATTATTAAATAAATAGTGCTGTTAAACCAATTATTATCGCATCTAACATATTTTTATATATATATAACAAATTTGTTACATCGATTAATCGCATCTAACATAAAAGTTTGAAAATATGTGTGTGTGTGTGTATATATATATATATATATGCAGTATATACACACACACACACATGTATATACAAACTTTTATGTTAGATGCGATTAATCGCAATTAATTGATTTGATATATATATATATATATATATATATATATATATAGACACAGCATATATGTATATTTATGCTTATTAGTGTATTGCATTCTTCATTTCCCCAGTCCTGAGATCCCTGGCTTTTCACTGTTCCCATCTGAGTCTATTTTTGCAGACCATGCTCGGGAAAAAAAATCGGACAATCTTTTAGCAAACTGTGTGAGTGCGTGAGTAGGAAGGGCAGCAGGTCGTGGGAATCGGTTCAACGCACCAGAATGGGCCGTCAGCAGAGACTCACTTCCACCAAAAGCATCAGAAGTGCAGTAAAAGAACAACTGAGGAAGTGGAGAAACAATGTATGAGTCTGAACAAACACACACACACACTGAGCTGGATCAGGGTGTGGGACCTCATGAACAGTGACAGCCAGCCACGTATCTGGACCCAAAAGCCCAGAGAGAAAAGAAAGTTCTGTTTCCCATAATTCTGCTTATGTTTCTGCTGGATTCGTTCCCACGCTGACTGCTTTTCTTGTTTATTGATCTATTTTGGCTTCCTCCTAAACTATATTTAAAACTGGTTATAGGATAGTGAATTTATGAATGTGTGTGTGTAACTTCAAAGGTCCGCAGACCGGTAATGTCTGTTTTAGTGTGTTGTTTATTGAAATGACTCCCGGTAGGAAGTTACAACGTGACCACCAGTACAGCAGCTTGAGCCATGAAAACGTGAATAATTATGAATACACACTGTTCCTGTCTTAAACAACGGCCAGTGGCGTTATATTCAGTCTTTCATCAACTTCTGGAAAACTGAGGCCCACTTCTCTCACATTAAGCGTTCTCGCTCCCTCCCCTTGGAAATACCTATGAGTTTTCGTGCTGGTCCAGACTAGTTTATGCCAGTTATCTGGTGGATCAGTGTAATTATAGTTTAAAATATGACCTTATTGTGTCTGTAATTCTTATAAACCTCCTCTTGATGACTATCTTAGCAAGTATAATAATTTTTTTATGCTGCCTCTCCTGGTTTTTGATGATATATGCACTGAATTATAACTAAGAGTTATTATAACAACTTAACTTTGTAAATGTAACTTCTGGATCATTCTCATAATATTGTGACATGTCACTTAAATTTAAAAGGCATCATTTTGTAAAAGTTCTGAAAAAATCATGTTATTTTGTTTTGCACTGGTTGTTGGCATGATAATACATGATATAATCATTACATGATAATGACAACATGGCGAATGTAGTACGTCCAGATTACATTTATACTTCACAACACTTTTTTTAGCGGTTGTGAAGTAATTACTTATTTAAAATAAGTACCTGCTCAAGAGAGTATGCGATTTTGGACGCAGCCATGATGATTTTCCCAGCATGCTGAAAAAGTTATTGATTTTTAAACTATAATTCATTCGTATTATGTTTTGTGTCATTGAGAATTATTTTTAGTGGTGGAAAAAAAATGATCTGAGCTTTTTTTTATGTGAATTATAGTGACTATATTTTTGTTCAAATACATGTAAAATACAATGAATGAAAAAAAAGCTGTAACATTTTGTTAAGTCTAAAAAAAATCAACATTTTTTTGTGAATGACCCTTTATAATCTTCTGGTCTAAGCGCTGAAGGAATTCCCTCATGCTGAAGAGCTCTTGTTTTGGTGTATTAGATATATGAACACACAGAGCTGCCAAGCAGAACATCCAGGAAACAGGGACCGATGCGTGACGTTCTGACACTAAAATGTCTTTGAGCACTTAATCGGCGTGTTGTTACTGCCCAGCTTTCCTTAATCTCTGTGTTTAAACACAGAGCGCTTAGAGAGGACAGATATTCCGGGTATGTCCGGGCCTCTGTGCCCTTTCAGCAAGCCAGTAAACATCTAGAATAACAGAGGTTTCAGCGCTCTGGACCTGCTCTGTCCACCACACAGCCTGAAGTAGGCCAAACTGCACGGCAGGGCTTTAGACGGGCAGATTTGTGCCGAGTCGAGGGAATTCCTCCCATACTTCCCCTCGCGGGGTCCGTTTCTGCGTGACTGAATCTCTGCAAAACAAGGAGCAGGAAGAGTTTAGGTCTGACTCATACTTAGGGTTAAGTAGCGTATGTGAACAAACCAAAACTGATAACCTTTGATTTGCTACAGATAAGATCATTACAAATCTCACTGTTGCGTGGATCTAATAAATGTATGTAGATGATATAGTTACGATAGTCTTTGCTTCCCTATTATGACTTATGTCTGAGCGAAGCGGCTTCTCAGACAAGAACAAATGTTGGGTGGGACTTTATTTTGTCTGTCTGGAATTGATTGAATGCTATTGGTGGATCTCGTGAGTGACAGGTTGCCCCGCCCCCGCGCCAGTAAACACGTCATCCGAGAAGAGATGCCACAGCAACAGGGTGGAGAGGTTATTTTGATTAGAGATTAGATATGAGCCTGGATAAATTATTTACAATAAATACTTAAATATTGGATTTCATGTAGTTGTTTGCTGTTGTTGTGTTAGTTGGAGAGAGAGAGAGAGCATTTGCTCTGTGGTTTCTAATGTGATGTTATCTCTCAGTGTTTGGTCAGAATGTCTTTGACTCTGCAGAGCAGGAGCGGTGCGTGCTGGGAAACATGTATCCAGGAAACTTCTTGCATGGAGAGGAAACCTTAGATCAGTGGCATGAACAGAAAGACAGAGACAGCGAGAGTTGGGCAGGTACGGAGCCCCCCTAGTCCGTCCCACTTTGGCAAAAAAAAATTAATTGATAGTATCTTGTGGCCTCAAGATACTAACTCGTGGCCTCAAGATACTAACTCGTGGCCTCAAGATACTAACTCGGGGATCTTGAGGCCACGAGTTGCTATCTTGAGGCCACGAGTTACTATCTTGAGGCCACGAGTTACTATCTTGAGGCCACGAGTTACTATCTTGAGGCCACGATTTACTATCTTGAGGCCATGAGTTACTATCTTGAGGCCACGATTTACTATCTTGAGGCCACGATTTACTATCTTGAGGCCACGAGTTACTATCTTGAGGCCACGATTTACTATCTTGAGGCCACGAGTTACTATCTTGAGGCCACGATTTACTATCTTGAGGCCACGAGTTACTATCTTGAGGCCACGATTTACTATCTTGAGGCCACGGGTTACTATCTTGAGGCCACGAGTTACTATCTTGAGGCCACGATTTACTATCTTGAGGCCACGATTTACTATCTTGAGGCCACGAGTTACTATCTTGAGGCCACGATTTACTATCTTGAGGCCACGAGTTACTATCTTGAGGCCACGATTTACTATCTTGAGGCCACGAGTTACTATCTTGAGGCCACGATTTACTATCTTGAGGCCACGAGTTACTATCTTGAGGCCACGATTTACTATCTTGAGGCCACGAGTTACTATCTTGAGGCCACGAGTTACTATCTTGAGGCCACGAGTTACTATCTTGAGACCACGATTTACTATCTTGAGGCCACGATTTACTATCTTGAGGCCACGAGTTACTATCTTGAGGCCACGAGTTACTATCTTGAGGCCACGAGTTACTATCTTGAGGCCACGAGTTACTATCTTGAGGCCACGAGTTACTATCTTGAGGCCACGATTTACTATCTTGAGGCCACGAGTTACTATCTTGAGGCCACGAGTTACTATCTTGAGGCCACGAGTTACTATCTTGAGGCCACGATTTACTATCTTGAGGCCACGAGTTACTATCTTGAGGCCACGATTTACTATCTTGAGGCCACGATTTACTATCTTGAGGCCACGAGTTACTATCTTGAGGCCACGAGTTACTATCTTGAGGCCACGAGTTACTATCTTGAGACCACGATTTACTATCTTGAGGCCACGATTTACTATCTTGAGGCCACGAGTTACTATCTTGAGGCCACGAGTTACTATCTTGAGGCCACGAGTTACTATCTTGAGGCCACGAGTTACTATCTTGAGGCCACGAGTTACTATCTTGAGGCCACGAGTTACTATCTTGAGGCCACGATTTACTATCTTGAGGCCACGATTTACTATCTTGAGGCCACGATTTACTATCTTGAGGCCACGATTTACTATCTTGAGGCCACGATTTACTATCTTGAGGCCACGAGTTACTATCTTGAGGCCACGATTTACTATCTTGAGGCCACGAGTTACTATCTTGAGGCCACGATTTACTATCTTGAGGCCACGAGTTACTATCTTGAGGCCTCAAGATAGTTATAAATCATAATCACATTTTTTTTTTTTTGCCAAAGTGGGACTAGGGGGCTCCGTAGGCAGGATCTAAGTTTGTCTGTTCACTATCAAAACTGAAATCTAAAATATCTGTATTATTAGTGAAATATCTGTCTTTGTTATAATTATTAGTGATATTTGTTAGTGGTACAAAAGGCAAAGTGGGCACTTTTGATTTGGGCCGGTAAGCAACCTTTGCAACCATATAGCAACACCCTGGCAACCGACCATAACACCCTATGGTTTGTGGCAAATTTTGCATGAGCAAATGTCATGTACATTTTTTTTCAGAAGTCTTGTCATTCTAGAGCTCAGTCTGCATGTGTTCCAGTGTGTGTTTGCTGTGATGTGGAAGGCTTGACCTATATTCATCACATGACTTTCAAAGCCTGCAGCAGTGTAAATAAAGTGTTCAAACTACAGCAGCTGATGTGAGATCTGCTGTCATTATCAACTATCTTTTTGTAATAAAAGGGACTGAAGAGAACTTATGTCTGCAACAAAGGTTTCTATATGTGTGTTTTAAGCAAAAACCTTATTTTTTCATTTAGGCTATGCTTAAAACAAGAAACTTTATATGAAATTGTATTCTTTAAAACATTTTTTTTTTTTTTGCTTCTCATCTAAATCGATATCATTTTAACAATGTTAATATATTTCTACTGCAAAAAAAGACAACAAAGACAGATAATATTATTAACACTGATAATGCAAAATTTAAGGAGCTGGTGTTTTATTTTATTTTTATTTTTTTACAGCTATCCTTGCTTAAGCCGAGTGCACAATGGGTGCAGGACAATGTACAATTTTGGCCATAATTTGGCTGTCTGTGGCAAATTTAGCAAATCCTAAATGATCCCTCTGATATAGGCCAAAATCTGTTGTCTTTGTGGAAGATTTGTGCCTCTCATCACATGATTGTTGTTGAACTGCATGTGGTAGTGATTTAGAGAAAAAATGTGTCCAATATCATTTCTCAGTGACGAAGAGTTGAAATTATCAGCAGGTAACACCCCTAATGCACATATAGACATACACACACACACGCACACACACACGCACACGCACACGGTTCAAACTCACAATGACCAGAGATGAGTTTGGCTATTGATTTGGCCAGAGGGACACACTGGTGAAATTGAATTTCTGAACAAAATTCCGTCACTGATTTTGACTGACAGAAAACTAATTTAAATGTAACTGATTTAAAATACAATCAATACAACAAGAGGTCTTTAGACAGTATAGGAAGGGAATGCCTTCGTAATTGTTCTAGCGGATAGCGCCATCTGCTGTCTGTGGTGGAAAATGGGATAGTAAAAAAATTAAAATCATTAATTACTCATCCTCATCTTGTTCAAAAATCGTAATAATTTCGTACATCTTCAAAACACAAATGAAGACCTTTTTGATGAAATTCTGTTCCTCCATATAGACAGCTACGCAACGGACACTTAAAAAAGTCCATAAATAGATCGTAAAACTAATCCATTTCGTGTTTGTACCAATTTAATGAAGATACACTATTCTTTCATATGATGAACAGATTTAAATTTTATTTAATTTAGACAGAATTTAGAGAGAGAGAGAGAGAGAGAGAGAGAGAGAGAGAGAGAGAGACGGTTCAAAATGACCAGAAGCCAAAGGGACACACATGGTGAAATTGAATTATATAAATACATTTATAAAACAGAATAATCATAATTAAAAAATCCACTAACACAGATATAATAACGGAGTAAGTCAAGCGTCGTGAGCATTTCACAAGACTTTTTGTTTTAAATTCTGTCAGTAGCTAATTTTCTGCACTCGCGCGAGTCAAATTATATTCAGTTAGTGACCGTCTATGTTAAATATGTTTTTAAACTAATACTTAAATGAAAATGATACTTTTGAAACGTGAGGATATTATAACGTGAAAAATAATGAAAGAATTTATGTTTTGACGATTCGTCGTTCGAGATCGTGTTGCCATCTAGGCTACCTGTGATTCCTGTTCGTGTCGTGAATGTTAACACACAGCTGAAGCGTAGGCTATATTCCTATAATTAAAAAGAATAAATATTTAAGGACCCTTTCTTTGAACTCATTTTGTATAAAATGATTTTAAAAAATGAGCACATTTATTTGTACGGAACTCGATAACTCCAAAGTAATAACTCATGATGGAGTCAGGTACTAGGTAATGTAGCCTATTCCTTTTGTTTATAATTATATCGTTTCATAGTAAACTAAAACTATGTCCACAAGGAGACGCTCTTGTTTAACAAGTACTACTGTAAATAGCAATAAATTCTCATCTTTCACCATGGTGCCAGTTTGATAACGTCTCTGTTGTGGTGCCATATATTCCTTCCTGATATGAGCTGTGACCACAAATCAGACTCAGAGCTGTGGAGGTCAGTACCAATAGACTACAGTTGAGATGTGTATTGCATGCTGTATACAAATAATTAAAGGGGAAATCATTTATATATAGGATTTATGGCTATATGCTGCAAAAAAACACTGACTTCTTACAGGCTGCTAGTGAAACTCTCAATGAAATATCATCTTTTGCTTCATAATGTCACACATCTCCAAAACTTAACAGCTGGACACAATAAGCAAAATCTCCTGTCTTTTTTTTTTTTTCGACTGTTTTTCCACAGTATTGTGTTTCATGAAGCACAACGGTCATGTGAAACCTGTTTGGATGTATTAGCAGATCTGAGAAACAGAAAGCCAGATATATTAACGTTATTAAATTATCCAAGCGCTTCATGACAGGACCTCACCTTTGCCAGAAATACACAAAATCCTCTGAATTCTTCCATTATGTGTGAGAGAGAATGTAAAACTTTCAAACCTGCACAGATTCAGAGAGGAAAACCTAAGATCCATTTCAAAACAAAGGAAGCACTAATGACTACACGGCCATTTTGACCTCTTGGCAAAATATCATATATGAGAAAATGACCAATATTTCAGTAGTTATTACTGAAACTATTATCTAAACTAGTTACATCAGCCATGTTGACAATAGATTTTTTTGGTTTGTTCACTCTCTGACTTGTGTATAAAGTTTTATTCAAAAGACAATTCAGGTGGCACAAATTTGTGCATTGTGTGAATTTGGAAGATTATTGGATTTCATGTGGAAAATGCATCCCGTCATCTTTCTTGATGAACATACCTTTACTGATCAGAGGAAAGGAGAGCTTATGTCGCAGGGATCAGATATGTAGAGGAGTCTTTCATTATGATGTCACTGCACTGGAATGTGCTGCAGTTGATGAATAGCGAATGGAATTCCAGCTGGGAAACGGGAAAGTGCTAGTTATCCCAGCGTGGAGGAGTTTTCTTTTCTTTAAGATTGCATCATGATATAAGCACGAAATCTGTCCGGCATCACACCGCCTCGCATTGCCTCAACCCAGGGTCACTGCAAAACCGAAAGAAAACTTTGTCAAATGCCGCTGCGCAGTTTTATACACATTTGGCAGTGTTGAAAATGAAACACATTATTTCATTTGCATAATTCAACACCAGAATGATTTATTAGAACAATATGTACAAAGCCAGTCAAGCCTTGTGTTGTTTCTGACTGTGTAGAACCTGCCACTCTGCAGATTTAAAGGCACAGTACGTAAGTTTTTGACCTAGAACACAATAACAAATGACGCTTAACTTGATGATGCCGTGAATGAACGTGGAATAATGGGAATTGTCGTCTTTACCTCCATATGAAATAATGTTCATAGACGAGCTAATATATTAAAGTTGGGAGCAGAACGAGTCCAGTGGAGCGATTGCTATAATGAGAGACACACCAGTCTCGAGTCCTTTTTTATTCCTTTATTATAATGCTTAAATGCTGCAGTCGGCCGCTGCTGCTCCTTTTGTTGTTAATATTTATTTTACAATTAACATCAGTTTAATGTTTGCCTGAACTTGAACTTTATTACACTTATGTTGGATCACTTAAAGTCATTGGTGTGAGTGGAGGCGGGGCTCATTTGCATATTCATACTAAATGAGGCACTGATGTAGAGTCACAAGTTATTTTAGCCCTCAATCGGGTCATGGGGTCTATACAATCGACTTTTACTTAATAAAAAAAATACACACACAAAAAAAACTGGGATTGATTCAGTTGTTCTGAAGGTATGCAAAAAAAAAAAATGTTTACACTTCTGTTCTTTGGGGTTGAAATGTATCCACATTGAAATGAATGGGAAATGTAAAAAAAACTAAATATATTTTCTTCACGTGTCAATAATAATAATAATCTGGCATAAATCTGAAATTTTTTACACAGAAATGAAGGCCTAGTACTAGAGCATAAATGCAATGTATCATAAAAAAATAATATTTCATATGCTAATGCTAAAGCTAATGGTGTAGTTGAGGAATTGTGTGGTCTATGGATACAAAAGTACTTTATATCTCCAAAAACACGGTATTAATGAATAGATGAGAAGTAAACAAAAAGATATGAAGAGTTCAGATGCAAAAGCCTCTAAGTGCCATTTGAAATTTTCTTCTAAAATGATCATTTTTATCAAGCTTGTATATTTAAGTTCAGTAATTTCACTTAAATGGCAATGAAGATTACCTATTAATTGTCATTTAAGTGAAATTACTGAACTTAAATATACAAGCTTGATAAAAATGGTCATTTTAGAAGAAAATTTCAAATGGCATTTAGAGGCTTTTGCATCTGAACTCTTCATATATTATTTGTATGATTAAAAATGTATATTTTTGGTACAATTACTCAATCAATTGTTGGGGTCGTATAGACCCTGAAGCCCAGAAGTGTAAACTGTTTACTACTTGAAGGTTAAGGCATGAAGATTTTATTTGTATTTATTTTTTTACAAGGAAAAAACTTTTAAATATGCATTTTTGGTGATCAAATATTAGTTTTAAGGGATAAAATTTTACCTACTTTAAATTAACATTATTTTATTTCATTCAAATAATGAGTTGAATTACTACGACTGTTTTTTTGTGGGGCAAAACACATAAAATAATTTAGAAATGTGTCAAATGACCTTTTAAAAATGACAGTCATAGTTAGTTTGTAGTCATGTTTATCCAAAACATAATTCCACTGGAGTAACGTGAGATTAAGCATCTCGCTCCAGGGCACATGTTCGTTTCTTGCTCCTGGGGCTCAAACCAGCAAACCTTTCAGCCCTGAACTTTTTTTTTTAAAGGAGTGCGTTAAGGGGGAAAATACATAATAAAGCAAGCATAGAAATAGAGTTGTTGAATGACTGCAGGCTCGTCTTTATCTCTGAACTCAAAGTGGCAGTTCGGTGCGAGCATGAAATATTTAACCTGTTAAGTGGAGCTCACTGGAATGGCTCTTATCCGAAACGAAGCCTGGAGAGACCTGCGGGATAACCACACATACGCGGCTCCATCTCTCATATGCATTAAGACACAATAAGGATCTAAAATTAATCGTGATGGGAGAGTTTTCAGACTTTAAGAGCGAGTATGCCGGCCTTACAGAAAGAACCATGTTGTTTTGGACTTGGTATTCTTATACGGTTTTGCCACCTGACGTAAAGCCAGCAGAAAAAAAAACTTGTCACGGGATGTTTCATTTGTGTTTGTTGCTGTGCTGTAGTTTCCTGTGTAAACTTAGCAATATGAACAACAAACATGAGCATCTCAGGAACCCCAGCGGTTATACAAATCTGCCTGTAGAGGTGAAAGGTCACAGATTTTGTAGTTACAAATGCTTCAGAGTAATGGACAGATGGATGATAAACTGAACGCTACAGTCAATAGCCTCTCTCTCTCTCTCTCTCTCTGCATTCCTCTGGTGTTAGGTAAGAACCTCTCTTGCCAACCCAAGTAAAATGATGTATTCAAATTTCCATGATTCAACTTCCTCATCCTGGTCATTGAGTCCATATACGGCTAATTTCCATTTTCCTGATGAAATCCGGCTCTGCTTGTGTATAATTGGTGCCCAATGTGTTCGGATTCATAGTGTACGGGTAAATAATTTTTGTTTGTTTGAGTGATATGAAAGTTTATGTTGGTTGATTTGGGCAGAATACTCTTAGAAACCATTATTTTAGTGGAATTAGATGTTCTCTAACTTGACTGGGTGTTGTTTTTTGTGTGTTTTATTTAAAGTGGTCATATTTGGATTCCTCTTATAATCTTAAGTCTTTCGTAATTCACATTAACCCTATATCAAAATTAGTCCTATGTAGATTTGCACACTGTCGTTCAAAAGTTTTTGGAAACCGTGACATATTTTTTTTTTTTTCAAGATTCTTTGGTGAACAGACGGTTTAAAAGTTTTTTTGTTACATTCAAAATGTACTGTCGCTTTTGATCAATTTAATGCATCCTCCTGAATGAAAGTATTCATTTCTTTTAAAAAAAATCTTACAGACTCCAAACTTTTATTCGTGTAATATGTAATATGTGTTCCTGCTCTAATTTTTCATAAATAATTTTTCTGAATTAATGAGTTAATTATCTCAGAATTACGAGATAATTTTTCATGGAAAAAAGTTTTTGCTCTGTTTTTCTGAATGTTTTTCTGAATTAATGACTTGATTATCTCAAAAACTCGTTAATTCAGAAAAACAGAGCAAAAACTTTTTTCCCTGAGAAATTATCTCGTAATTATAAGATAATTAACTCGTATTCAGAATGCAATTCGCTTCCGTAGATGGCTTGTTTCCGCCACAGAATAAAAAATAGTAAGGGTAATTGCGACTTTTTATCTCACAATTCTGACTTATTTTTTCTTGCGATTGCGAGTTTATATCACACAATTTGACTTTATAAGTTGTTTTAACTTTTTGTAACTTTAACGACATAAATTGTGATATAAACTCTTAATTCTGAGAAAAAAAGTCAATAATTTTTTTCCTCAGAATTGGACTTTATAACTTGCAATTGCCACTTTACATGTCACAATTCTAAGAAAAGAAGTCAGAATTGCTAGAATTAAAAGTCACAATTATCTTAAATTGTTTTATTCTGTGGCGGAAACAAGCTTAATGCATGTTATTCCAAAAAAAAAAAAAAAATTCAATAAGTAAAATACTTTAAATAGTATTTTTAATCAACTGAGAGTGTTTTGGAAAGATAAAAAAATTAGAAAGTAATTATTGCTTATGAGCAATTTGAGGCGTCATGAGCAACATAAAATATTTCATGATTTGTTTCACAACATTTTTTCGTTTATCAAATCAACTTAGATAATTCACATGGTTCAGATAACATAATATTTTGAGTTTCTGTTGATTAAATCAATCTCCTTCATTGTATTAACTCAAATTTTTAATTTCAATGGACTCAAAATTTTAAGGCAAACAGGATACACTGTAAAAAAAGATGCTGCCTTAAAATTTTAAGTACAATCAACTTGAATGTTTGAGTCATTTCTACTTAAATTGCATTAAACAAATAAAAATGAGTTAAAGCTTACAAAAACAGTTAAAAATTGCTTTACATATTTTGATGAGTTAAATCAATGATCGATAAGTTGTGTTGTCATAACTTATCGATCATATAATTTTTCAAAATAAGTTATGACAACATTTTTACATTCCTTTTAATCCATCAAAATAAGTTAAGCAATTATGTCAGTTTAATATAATTTAAGTTTAAATGACTTCAACATCCAAGTTGATTGTACTCAGCAACTTTTTTTTTAATACAGTGCACTTAAACAATATGTTTTTAAACAGTGCAGCAGTTTAATCACGATCAGGTTGAGTAAATATCCCCTTTAAATATCTCAGATGCTTTTCTCTTTATATTTCTTTTTGTTCTACTTTAAATTGCATATTTTGTTAAGATGTTCTTGTCACAATAGACAAGAGACTCTCCATCAACACACCAGAAAGAATCAGCTGGTATTTCCTGCTGATTACAAATGATAAATCTGATTTAGAGTTCTCATTTGTCCAATAGGATGTCCGTCATCCGAGTCACGCCTCCAAACAGGAAACGAAGTGCGACACGATTAAGTCAAACTTACTCAAAGTTCTCGCAACTCTCCGGAGAAGCGTGTTGAGATTTATGAGCTGCATAACCATTTACACAAACATGCACACCAACCTTCAGTAACCTCTCCTCTCCTCTTTTTCTCACTCCCTCTTTCTTTCCTCAATTCACTGGAAGTTCTTTCATATTTAATGAGATTAGTTCCACCCACTGCTCGTGCTGCAGCTGAGAGCTACACAAAGAGAGACAGAGACCACATGATGAACAACTAAAAGAGAGCGAGAGAAAGTTTCTTTCTCATGAGTCAGTCATTAGTGTATGACGGTCAAATCTGACCCCCTGCCCAATCTGCTGCTTCAGACCCATAGATGGTGCTGTTTCAGAGCCGAGGTCATGTGTATTGTGTACGTTTGTGTGTGGACTTTCAATGAACTCTGAAAGGAGTTTCATGAGAAAATCATTTTTAGTAGTTGTAGTTTAGTAGTCAGTGAGTTTTGCACAAGAACACTCTCAGAAAAAAAAGGTACAAAAGCTGTCACTGGGGCTGTACCTTTTCAAATGGTACATTTTCTTACCTTAGTGGTACATATTAGCACCTAAAATGTACATATTGACACCTAAAATGTACATATTAACACCTAAAATTTACATATTAGTACGTAAAATATACATATTAATACCTAAAATGTAACACCTAAAATGCACATATTAGTACCTAAAATGTACATATTAACACCTAAAATGTACATATTTGCACCTAAAATGTACATATTACGACTGACAGTAAAATGGACATATTAGCTCCTGAAATGTACATATTTACACCTAAAATGTACAAATTACGACCGACAGTAAATGGACATATTAGCTCCTGAAATGTACATATTTTCACCTAAAATGTACATATTAACACCTAAAATGTACATATTAGCACCTAAAATGTACATATTAACACCTAAAATGTACATATTTACACCTAAAATGTACATATTACGACCGACAGTAAAATGGACATATTAGCACCTGAAATGTACATATTGACACCTAAAATGTACATATTAACACCTAAAATTTACATATTAGTACGTAAAATATACATATTAATACCTAAATTGTAACACCTAAAATGCACATATTAGCACCTGAAATGTACATATTGACACCTAAAATGTACATATTAACACCTAAAATTTACATATTAGTACGTAAAATATACATATTAATACCTAAAATGTAACACCTAAAATGCACATATTAGTACCTAAAATGTACATATTAACACCTAAAATGTACATATTTACACCTAAAATGTACATATTACGACTGACAGTAAAATGGACATATTAGCTCCTGAAATGTACATATTGACACCTAAAATGTACAAATTACGACCGACAGTAAATGGACATATTAGCTCCTGAAATGTACATATTTTCACCTAAAATGTACATATTAACACCTAAAATGTACATATTAGCACCTAAAATGTACATACGACCAACAGTAAAATGGACATATTAGCTCCTGAAATGTACATATTGACACCTAAAATGTACATATTAACACCTAAAATGTACATATTAGTACCTAAAATGGACATATTACGACCTACAGTAAAAATGGACATATTAGCTCCTGAAATGTACATATTAACATTTAAAAATGTACATATTAGCACCTAAAATGTACATATTTACACCTTAAATGTACATATTAGCACCTAAAATGGACATATTAGCTCCTGAAATGTACATATTAACATTTAAAAATGTACATATTAGCACCTAAAATGTACATATTAGTACCTAAAATGTACATATTAACACCTAAAATGGACAAAAGTTTACCTTTTAAAAAAAAGGTACAGCCCCAGTGACAGCTTTTACCTTTTTTTCTGAGAGTGTAGGCACCCGTATTTTTTATTTTATTTTTTTATATAATTCTTGATTGGTTTGGAAAACCTGAAAACCCAATTCTAATGATTGCCACACTGGAGATCATGTGATCAAAACCCTCAGCATGTGTTTGTTTTTAACAGATGGGATTTCAGCGCTGTGACGAACGATTGTGTTGCATCAGATATTGCAACCAATTATATAGTTTCATTGTGTTTTTGTTGCAATTTCACACACACTGAATAGTTTGGAAACTCAGAGCGGGGGGTTATCTAAACATGCCTAGAGTAGAGGAGAGAGTTGTATAGGGCTGGGGAGATTTTCAGGTGGGCCTGTGGTTTATCACTGACAGCTCGTAGACGTAATCCAGATGACAGCGGGAAGAGCGCGCGAGAGACGGAGATATAAACAGAGATGGCATGTGTTATGGTTTCACATCTCTGATTGATGATCTTCAGCGCAAGTGACCTCTCGTGTCATTCGGGAGACCAGGAAGTTTTAACGTCTCCTGAAGTCAGGTGATGTTAGCTCACATGAGCACATTGGCAGTGGTCTAAAGTGTGTAATTACGTTTTTTTTTTGTTTTTTTTTTTTGAGATTTGCAACTTTTACTCTCTACTTGACTACATTTTTAATACTTTTGTGATGAGCAAGTGTACTTGTTACATTTTGCGTGGCAAATAACTTTTTCTGCAGCACTAAAGTGATATCGCCATCCACAGGGCATTGAAGGTATTACATCTTGTGAGTTTTTGCCCTTGCTCACCCAAACTTGTCAAGATAAGCCCAGTAGACATTCTATGATTTAGGGCTGTCCCAGACAAAGATTACCAATCGTGGTGATTTCTTTGGTCATGGCTCCCAAACTAGAGTGACCAACAGTCCTGTTTTCACGTCCTGTCCTGGCTGTTTTTCTAGGGCTGTCAAACGATTAATCGCATCCAAAATAAAAGTTTGTGTCAATAAAAGTCACCCACATATATTATGTAAACACAGACTTTTATTTTGAATGCGATTAATCGTTTGACGATTAATCATCAAACGATTAATCGCGATTAATCACATCCAAAATAAAAGTTTGTGTCAATAAAAGTCACCCACATATATTTAGTAAACACAGACTTTTATTTTGGATGCGATTCATCGCGATTAATCGCTTGATGGCCATAAGTCCTGGTTTTCAAAAAAAAAGGTGGGAAAGATCATCTCTACACTACAGCAAAATATAGATGGGCAAACAAGAAGGATGAGGAAGAAAAACAGGATAAAGAGGAAGAAAACTAAAGTTATTAGTTCGTTTTTGTAAGTTTGCGAAAGATATTTTTGTTAAATTTGTAGTTATTTCTTTTAGTTATTTATTATTTATATATGTATTTTTCTAATACAGAAGAGACATTATTTCTATCATTATTTCATTCATTATTTTTGAAACCTATCATCATAATAAAACATGTTGAGTAACCTCTGAGAACTAGAATCAACTCGTTCATCAAAATGAACGAATCTCTTTCCGAGTCATTTGGTTCATTCAACAAACCGAACGAATTGACTCGGAAAAAGATTCGTTCATTTTGATGAACGACTTCGAACAGGAAAGTCACGAACGCGCATCACAGAACAGAGCAAGGCGACCATTTGAGCTTATAAAACTTAAACTTTGTTATTTATTTATTAAATGAGCGATCGTTTCGGGTGATAAGACCCTTATTCATCGTCTGGAATCGTTTAAAGCCCTCTGAACAGTTTGCAGTTTGTACTAAAAGTGTCTTTTGGACCTTGAACCATTTGGTTCCCATTGAAGTCCATTATATGGAGAAAAATCCTGGAATGTTTTCATCAAAAACCTTCATTTCTTTTCGACTGAAGAAAGAATGACATGGACATCTTGGATGACATAGAGGTGAGTAAATTATCAGCAAACGTTTTTTTGAAAATTTAACTACTCCTTTAAAACTACTTCCCACTCCATTTGCAAAATCGCCAGCGATGACCGTGTCCATATTCTCCTCTTTCGCTTCCTCCTCTTTTTTCAGCACACATAAAAACCAAAGTGCGAATCATCTTGCTCTATATGTTTACCACTAGCGCATGCTGATGACGTTTCATTCTTCTATACATAGTTGTGTCGTAGCCTACGATTCAATAGGTGTCATCATGTCGTACACAAGTTTATCAGATCTATGCCGTACAGTGTGATTTGTTATGATCTAATAGGATTGACAAAATCGCAGTCTAACTGGCATAAGATACTATTGTAGGACTAGCGCATCTTTGAGCCTACATTCAGTACAAGTAAAATCAGATACTTGAGGGCCTGGTTTCACAGGCAGGGTTTAGATTAAGCCAGGATTAAACCTTAGTTCAATTAGGACATTTAAGTGGCTTTTGCATCACGAGACAAAACAATGCATTTTAGTCTGAGACTACAGTAGTTTACTCCTTTTCTGTGAAACCGGGGGAATCACTTTAACTCAAGTGGTACTGGGATTGATAACTGCAATATATCTGTAGTTTTACTCTATTTTTCAGGTACTCTTTACGCCTCTGCACATTAGTGAGGGGAGAGAGTGAGTATTTCCATTTCTCAGAGTTTATAAATAGTTAACGGCTGCTCGCGATTGGAAGAGGGCGTACTACACTTAGATATCTTATCTTAAAGCGACTCTTTAAAGCACCAAAAAGGAAACACAGCCAGTGAAACGGAGACTGTAATCGGAGGATGTTAGCAGTACTGTACGTTTGTATTTATATAAGACCGTTCTCCCCGAAATCAAGCTCAAACTAACTTGATCAACAAACCCGCCCGACAATGCCAGGAACCATGTAGTCTAGCAGCATACTGTATCTGGTCTACTTTCAAAGATTCAGCAGCATAAACCTCCCAAACTTTGACGTTCCTTCTTCAGAAGTGTTTGTTGGGAAGTTGTAAACATGCCTCTGCTTCCTGTGCATGTTGGCTTGATGATGTTGTGTAGAAACCAGCTTATCTGGCTAGTCTCTGTGACAGATTCATGCTTTTTTGAGAAAGCTCTTGATGCTTGTAGATGGTCAGGGCTGCGTGACTTTTTCAAGACAAGGCCATAATTCTGCTTTCCATCACACTTCTACATCCACATTATATGTGCTTTAAATCTGGATGATTAGTTTTTAGAAATCAGAATATAACCTTGATAACAAAGCAGAATAGTGTGGTCAAGGATATCATGTTTACTTCCTGCTAATTGCAAACTCTTTCATGCATTTGGAAATACCCTAAAAATGCTGATAAGATTTGAGACCAGAGCAAGTCTGGAATATTCATAGATTAAACGACACAAATCCAGCAACTA